GTATACATTCATGTTTGTGGCCTAAATATTTACAATATTAACTCCAACCATTCTTTGTATTTGCTCATCTGCACTGTTCAAATAGAAATTTTCAGATTTTCCTGGCTGCTATATAACTAAGAAATTCTGTTAAACATCAAGAAGACTGGTGTAGAGCTGGAGGTACAGCTCAATGGTAGAACACATGTTTAGCATGCATTAAGACTTGGGTTCAGTTACTAGCAGCAAACACACACACACACCATTGGTACAATTAATCTGTCTACTTGTAGACAAATGTCTTCAGGAACCCAGAAAAAAACTCATAGCCACGTAAAATTTTAAATTACAATACTCATTAAATGTGCAAGCTGCAAGCACCTACCTAAAAGCTCAGCACTGGGGAAAATGAAGGCAGCATTGTCACAGCTGAGGAAACCCTGGGGCTACACAGCGAATACCAGATGAGGGGGCTACAAACGCAGACCCTGTTTTCGTGGTGGTTGTTTTGTTTGTTTTTAAAAGGAAGAAGAGGAGGATAGTAGAAAGGAAGGAAATGAGGGGGAAGGGTACAAGCAAAGGTCTTACATGGCTCTATCTAGCAACCTAGTTTCCAGCAGGGTTGAATACACATTAAACTTGTTAGAGGAAGAATATTCCTGAAAGATAAGGTTAAGATTCTTTGATGTAACAGACAAGATTGTCTGCAGTAACAAAATAAAAATGGATATTAATGGGAAAAAAATGATTCTTATTTTTCTGTCTTATTCTTTCACATGTATTTTTCACCACACCATTTCCCCCAGCACTGGGGATTAAAGCCAGATAAAGACTCTACCACTGAGCTACCGCCTCCCCAATCCTTCTCTTCTCTTACTAATTTTTCCTTGGCCCCCTTTCCCCCAGTTTCATTGCTAGAATTGCTTGGCCTTCAAAGAGCCGACCTCCCAAACTCCCATCCAAGCCTTTGGTCAATGCCCAAGTTCTTTCCTGATTTAATTACTTGTATCATGAGACTCTCTTTCAAAAGCCTGGTATAGCTGTGCCCAGAGACTCACCTTCTGATTCAAAAGCAATTCACCAAGACAGCATGGACCATCTTATGGCTAGCTTTCCCTCAAGCTGGATCTGCAAACTCAGGGACATGATAGTCTCACCTCTACACTCTCTTCTTGCTGAATCATACACTAGATGCCCTGCTTCCCACTTTTCTTCCAGCATCCAAAGAGTTCCTGAGATTCTCTCTATTCCATATTTACTAGAAGATTCCACCGACACAATTTCAGTTTAGAGAACCCAAATCTTTCACATACATTTCTACTACTTCCCATTCCTAAAGAATTTACCAACATGTATATATATAACACATGGAATATGAGTTATAGTAAAGTTCTGTTCTTTTTTACTGTGTTTTAATTTTTTTATTTATTATTGTGGGTATGATGCATGTAGGCTGGAGAGCATGTGGAGAAGACAACTTTGTGAGTCAGTTCTCTCCATCCACCTTTGTGGGTCCCTGAGAGAAAATGTATGTCGTCATAGGTTTGTATGTCATGTCATCATGGGTTTGTACGGTATGTCATCATCACCACAGGTTTGTATGGCATGTTATCATAGGCTTGTATGGCGTGTCACTATAGGTTCATATGGCATGTACTTACCTCCTAAGCCATCCCACTTGCCCCTCGAGTTCTATTCTTTTTTTTAATTAATTTTTATTTCATGTGCATTGGTGTTTTGCCTGCATGTATGTCTGTGTGAGGGTGTTGGGTCCCCCAGAGGTGTAGTTACAAACAGTTGTGAGCTGCCATGTGGGTACTGGAACTTGAACCTGGGTCCTCCAGAAGAGCAGTCAGTGCTCTTAACCACTGAGCCATCTCTCCAGCCCTGCAAGTTCCATTCTTAATCATAAGTAGAATGAAGTAATTAATATCTATCACTGAGTTTATTTTAGATGTTTTGAGCAGTTTAAATGTTAACTTAATTCTCATGAATAAATGGCAATGAAGAAGCCTGTCAGGTCATCAGAATTACATCATCTAGGGCTGGGGGTAAGAGAATTAGATATGAGAACACCTGCCCCATCCCACATGGCCACATCATTATATTTAAAGAAAGTGATATTTTTTCCTTCTCTCTTGGAATGGGAAAACTAAAGAAAAAGCATGTATCAAACATTTTCACCTGCTATCTGTTTCTTTTACCTTATACCCTCATACCCTACTTCATCCATGATTAGCAATCTGCAGACTTAAGACAATGAGGATCAAAGGGAATCAGAATGTTATAGGCAATAGCTAGCATGACATCTGATACAAAGAAGATTAGGGCATTCAAAATTATTAAAGTCACTTATTTATTTATTTATTTATTCATTTATTTATTGAGACAGGATCTCACCCATGCAGACCAGACTGGCCTTGAATTCAGAGATTTATCTTCCTGCCTCTGCCTCTGCTTCCCAAGTGCTGGTATTAAAAGCCTAGTTTTTTGGGGTTTCAAGAAAGGGTATTGCTGTGAAACCCTGGCTAGCCTGGTCTTGTGCTGTTTATGAATGCTAAACTAGCCGAAAATATAAGGCAATTCTCCTGCCTCAGCCTCCCAAGCATTAGAATTACAGGCGTGTACCACTATGTCTATGAAGTGATTTTCAATATTTTATTTTTCTTAGAGATAGGAGCTTGCAATACTACTTGGCTGGCCAAAAATTCCTAGTTCAAGTGATCCTCCTAGCAGTCTTCTGAGCGGCCAGGACTATAAGCAAATATCATTATTTTCAGCTAATAACTTAAAAATATAAAGCAAACTTTTCTGCATAGATGAGTGTTATCTCAAAATAATCCTAATTAACCTGGTTAATGACTATAACTAGAGCATAGTGTTAGGCACAAGTAATAATTGTCCTCAAATAACTTCTCTTCAACTGAAGAATCAGGGTACAAAGGAAAGACAGGAGGAATACAGGGTAATAGAAGCAGAAGAAAATATTGTCTATAAGGCCACCGGGCAGGGCTTCTTAAAAAGGTCAAGGCTTGGCAGGATGGGAGAGATGGTTCAGCAGTTAAGAGCATTTGCTGCTTTTACTCGGGACCCAGGTTCGGTTCCCAGCAGGTCACAACCATCTCTAACTCCAGTTTCAGGGGGTCAGATGCTGTCTTCTGGCCTCTGCAGGCACCAGGCACGCACGCACACACAAACACACACAGACACAGACACACACACACACAGGTCTATACACAAAATAATTTTAAAAATGAAGTAATTAAGAAAAAGGCTTAAATTTGGTTCACACTAGTGAAGTAAGGTGTAAAAGTGTGGATGAGCAGCCAGCATGTGGCTGGCCACGACCAGAGGTGAGCAAAGCACGTGGAAAGAGGAAGATGGGGTGAGAGCGATGGGAAGCAAGCGGTGTTTCACAAAGGTGGCGCTGCAGAACAGAGCAATTGAGAAGAGGGCAGCCCTACATATGACACCAGAGGCCAGTCTTGACAAGGGACTGACCCACGCATGAGTAAAGGGCAGTCCCTCCTGTCTACTCTCCAGGAGGTTTCTGCTTCCTATGGAAAATGCTCCTGTCCCTACTCCTTTCTGCATTTCCTACCAACATGAAACAAGTGCTGTGCAAAAATGGCAGCGTGCTATAACAATATACCAAGTGATATAAAGAGAGGAGATGGTAGTGAAGGTCTTTACCTTTATGATTAAGGTATATCTAAAAATATTACTGTTCATCATCAGATTATTTTAAATGCCAGTAACCATGTATATACTACCTTACTTGAAGAAGTTTTTGACAAAAGAAGCAATTATCTATCATTTGCAAATTTTCTTGTTCTAAAGGAAAGCAGTTATGTTCTATTGAAAAAATTTATGCGACTAAAACTTATTTTATACAAAAAATACAAAAATGTATTCCCCAAAGTAGAAATGATTATAATAAACATTTCATCATACATACATTAAATTCAGTCAATATTCATTTATTCAATAAATATTTACTGTGTAATAAATGATGAAATACTATCAATTTAATATCATTATTTTCTCTTTATGACAACAAAGTCAGAGACATTCTGAAAAAGGTAAATATTAGCAAATATGAAACAAAGAGACAGACTCCAACATTGGCTCCAGCTTTGATCTGAAGTTACCCAGCAAGCAAACATCACCCTTCTCAGTTTCTGCAGTGAGCAGCAGACAGGTCTTACATTTGTGGAATGCTTGATGCATATGTATGCCTTTTCTTAAACCCAGAACTTTGGACGTTATGAAGTTGGGCAAGTTTGGTTCTATTACCTTATAATATGCAGATGAGGAAGCCAGCTCTAAGTCACAGGCTGTGAGCACAGCCCGGGGCTCACCCTAGATCCCACCTTTCCCATCAGCTAGGCTTCCCCTGCTGCTCCTCAAACCACAGTGACAGGGGAGGAAACGGTCAATGGGCACAGCATTACACAAATGAAAGTTATACTCACTAGTTCAGACTTAAAGGGACTAAAGCAAAATGTGTGGTATCTCTTTAAAGAAAACATACACGCACACACATATACACACGAAATTATAGGTAAAGACCTTGGAAGAGACCCTAAAATGAAAGCTTCTCCTAGCCTCAGGAGAAGCTTGCCTTTGGATGCAAGAAAAAAGAAAATCATCAGACAATTTAGTAAAATCAAAAATTGCCCCCCAAAACTGAGACTATGTCCTCTAAATCATATGAAAAGGACATAGAAATACAGGGCCAAATTGGCTTTTATTTCCTCATGTTCAGTCACAAAATTCCAAACAAAAACTTCCAAATAAAGTTGTCTTTGTTGTAGCTTTATTATGACTAAAAGAACAGATTACCAATAATTATAATAAATGATTATAATAAAAGTAATAAAGAATTGCTTTTTCTAAAATAATTAAGCTAAAACATCGCACCATATATTAATTACTGTCTTATACACACAGGCATAAACACGCACATACTCACACTTACAGTTTGGCAAGCAAAAGAGCTCATTAAAAAAAAAAATTACCTCGTCTCCGCCCATAGCTCCTGGCTGCATGTAAACACAGAAGAAAACCATGGGTATTTGTATCAAAATAGTGAATTTAGAAATTTAAAGAAATGTTCACACAAACGTTATCTAAGTATTCTTGAAACGTTAATCTGGAGATCCTGTTCTGCTTCACTGTTAACACACTGGGGAAAACCTTCAAGAAGCATTAAAGCCAAATCACTACGTCACAACTACTCCAATGGTTGTGGCAGCTGCTGGAACCCAGCCTCACGAGTCGTGTAAGTCTTTATTGGGTATACTGGGCCTATTATCTATATCAGACAGAGATAAGAGCTTTTTAAGAGTAATTTTTAAATCTTCGTTTGAACTTTATATTACCATCAGATATCACTCACAGAAAAAATATTCTAAATAACTAAAAAGTTGTTGCATATGATGGGCATTCCAAACTTCTTACCACACACACACACACACACGTGTACACACACACACAACTTCACAAATGCCCTGAAAATGTATAGAAATTATATGTCATTAGTTCTTTTTTTATAGAATCCATTTTCTGTGAATTTTTGTATGTATGCAATTTCACATGTATGGAGCCACATATGTGTACAAGTGTGTTTGCACATACATATAGAGTCCTGAAGCTGATATCATGTGTCTTCCTTAATTGCCCACCACTTTATTTACTGAGGCAAGGTCTCTTGTTGAACCAAACATGAGTTTGTGAGTCGGACTAGTGAAGCTGGCCAGCTTGCCCTGGGGATCCTGCCTCTACCCCCCGAGTGCTGAGATTACAAGCATCCATGCTTGGCTTCCATACAAGTCCTGAGGATCCAAACTCCAGGACTCTCACACTTTGCTTGGCAAGTGTTTTAATCCCACTGAGCCATCTCCCCAGCTTAGTTTCTATAAAATTCTTAGTGAAGTTTCTTACTCTCTCCATTTGTCTTCCACATCTCACCACTATTTATATCATAGGAAGGAGAAAGTATTACATTTTACATCTGTAAAATGAAAGTAGAAATACACCAAGGCTCTGAATCTGCCCAAGGCAGCCCATAATAACAGAATTCTGAAGGCCGCTTTTTCACAGCTTGGGCCCAAGGTTTAGCAGAGCTGACCTATGGCTTCATCTATCACCAGTTACTACTTACAGTGGTATTGAGAATGGAAAGATTAAATTTGAAACCTTCTTAAATTTGAAACCTCCAGTTCTATAAAAACAAATGAAACCTTAAACTGCATTTAATCTACGAAGCACACAATGCCACAAAACTCCTTTGCACTGAAAAGGATCATAAAATGGACTCATTAGCTACAGAATAGCAGGAAGGGAAGAAAGCATTTCTTGAAGGTGCCAGACTTTTCAGCAACATCCCCGAAACCACTGGCGAGTCTCACTGCTTTCTGCTTTCTAACTCTGTCACCTCCACCTCTGTCCTCTTTCCTTTCCCTCCATTCAAAGATGAGAAAGGGTCACCCAGTTCAGGTCTCCCCACCTCATTCCTCAGTCCTATTACAACCGACAGTGAAGAAATCTCTTCTGAATTTATACAACTACTATTGTTTCCATCAGTCCACAGGGGATGTGTTCCAAAGCATCTAAAAGGGCTTACTCTTCTCATTATTTGGAACCTGAAATTCATCTCCCTCCCATCAGAGCAGCTTGCTTCACCCACAATGACATGGACAAATCAGCACTGATGGGTTAACATTGTGATTCTATGCTTGTCCCTTTGTGCCTTCTCTCCCAGTCCCAGTGATGTCATGCTGCCTGTTAAGTCACTGGGAAAAAAAATCCCTACTGAGAGAGAAAATAAAAGTATTTTGTATTCAAAATTACAAATTACTCAGTGTTCTCCCTAACAACAACCCACCACCACCATCACCATTATCTCTCATTTCAGGGCAAATATTCCATGAAAAAAAAAATCTGATTCGAATATAAAAGTATCAGGGACCACTGGTTCTTAGCACCTCGCCTAAAGAATAAATGAGAATCTTGTTCACTCAAAACTATAACTGCTGAACACCTGAGAACACAAAGTGAATAGATTTAGACTTTATGGGTGGGATGAGCACTTTGAACTGAGAGGGGGAAGAGGTGCAAAAGACCCGCATGGACCAGGTGATGGTGACGTTGGCCTTTATTCCAAGCACTCGGGCAGATCTCTGCGAGTTTGAGGCCAGCCTGGTCTACAAAGTGAGTTCCAGGACAGGTGAGGCTGTTACAGAGAGAAACCTTGTCTTAAAAAACAAAACAAAACAAAACAAAACAAAAAGACCTCCATGGGAACTTGAACTAATGCTTTCTTTAAAGTTCATGATTTTAGCTTCTTCTCATTTTTCATTTCTGAACAAGATTACAAATGGGCTCCTGATGGCAAGACAACATACAGAACAGACAACCAATTTAAGAAGCTATTTGAGATACTGAAATTTGTTTACATCCCTCATTGAAGAATTTAAATATGTTCCATCTTGGTCCTAACCAGTATTTTATCTAAGATCTCTATGATAGTATTACTACAGCAGCTATAAATGAATGATCACTATATGCTTCATACTTATTAATATGCTTTAGTGTAACATACAAATTTATGGCTTGTTTTTCTTTGTTGTTTTGGTTTTGGTTTTATTGAGACAGAGTCTCCGTACATAGCTCTAGCTTGAATGGAATTCACAGAGATCCACCTGTCTCTGCCTCAGAGGTGTCTCTGAGGATTAAAGACATGTACCCTCACGCCCGCCCCCTCCCGTGTAACAGTTACATGGTTCCCCAACATGAGCTTTGTTAGATGACACTGCTATGCTACATGTCAAGAGTTTGGGAATGGGTAGATGGCCGAGTTGGTCAAGTGCCTGCTGGACAGCATGAGGCCCTGAGTCTGAATTCATAGCATGAAAAGCCAGAGATGACCACACAGGCCTATAATCAAAACACTGGGCAGGTCAACCAGCCTAGCCAAATTGGTGAGCTCCAGGTTCAGTGAAAGTCCCTGTCACAAAAAATTAGGGGAAGATGAGAGAGGAACACATCTAATGTCGACCTCTGGCTGCCACTCACGTACATTCCCAAATGAACACTTGCGCATGCACACACACGAGTCTGGATAGCACGTTGGTACTGAACAAACACAGCCTCTTAGCATTGTACACAGTCAAGGGAGAGAATAACACATGACATGCTTTGATCGTCTGTAGAACATAAGCCAGTTCTGATGGTAATTTGAAATTTGATAAATTTGCTTCTATGAGAACTATTTGTGAATAGTCCAGTTTGAGTCAAATGCTTCCATTAGAGAAAGGTAATGAATATTGAAAAGAATGTTGGGGAAAATAGCAGTGCTTTCATCTAGAATAAGTATAGCTCTAAGAAAGATCCACCCGCCTCAGCCTCCCCATAGCCAGTATACAAATCCATGCCACCATAGCCAGCTTATTTACACGGGTCCTGGGATCAAACATAGGTCAGGTCTTGTAGGATAAGCACTTTACCAACAGGCTCTCTCCCCAGCCTGCAATATCTTTTTAAATTTTGGCTTGTATACATGGAAATGGGGTTCACTGTGAGAGTTGCAAACATGTATACACCATAAGACCTCCTTCTTGTTTCTCCACACTGCCTTCCTCACTTTCCTCTCTTTCTTGTTGTCTTTCCTCCTCCCCTAGTGTCACTTTCTGCCTTCACGACACATGTACTCTATTATTCTCCTTGCTTCTCCCTCCTTTCTTCTTTCCCTCTTATAGTCCCCCCCATTCTTCTTCTTCAGTGGTGGCGGTAGTGTGTGTGTGTGTAGATTCTGCATGATAGAAAATGTGATATATGTCTTTCTAAGTTTTATAACATAAAGAACTCCAGATCCATTCATTTTCCTGCATGTCATAATTTCAGATGTCTTCATAGGTGAAATTTCATTTTGTATATTTACCACATTTTTTAAATACAGGATCATACTATGTAGCCCTTGTTGTCCTGCAATGCTAGGATTAAAGGCATGTGCTATAATGCCTATTTATCACATTTCCTTATCTAGTAATACACACTTAGGTTGGCAGCAATAAACATGGATCCATAACAGTCTCTGTGTACATTTCAGGAATGTTACTGCTATATGCTAGATAATACATATAAGAAGTATTTGATTATTAGGAACCTCCATGCTGATTTCCACAGTGGCTATACAAATTTACATTTCCATCAGCAATATATAAGAGTTTGTTTATATCTTTGCATTTGTTCTTTATTGAGGCAGGGTTTCACTCGGCAGCCTACGCTGACCTCAAACTCATGGTGATCCTCCTACTTCTGTGCCTCTCAAGTGAGAGAATTACAAGTGTGAGTCACAACAGGCTATTGTCACTTGTTTTCCTGATGCTAGCCATATTCACTGGCCTGAGAAAACAATCAAGGCAGTTGTAGTCTGCATTTGTTTAAAGGCTAAGAGTGTTAAATTTTTTCAAGGCATTTATTGGCCATTTGCAATTCTTCCTCTGAAGTGAGGCATGTCCATTCAATTCATTACCCCCACTAATTGTTTGGATGAGGGTTTTTGTTGTTAATTTTGTACAGATTATAGCTATTAATCCCCTGCTGGGTGCACAGCTGCAAACTTGTTTTCCTGTTCTATAGGCTATCTCTTCACGTTGTTGATAGTTTCCTAATTTCATGCAATCCCACTTGCTAATTCTTGGGATTATTTCCTATGTTTTCCTTTGCAGAAAGTCTGTGCCCATACACTGCCATGTCCTCCTGCAGCAGTCTGAGAGGTCTTGACCCATTTTTAATAAGGGTCTAGTTACAATCTGTCCACATTACACGTGGATACCCAATGTCAAGCACAATGTTTGAAGATGCTGCCTTTTCCTCTATGTATATTCTTGGCATCCTTGTCAAAAATTAGGTGACTGTAGCTATATGTGGTTGGTTTGGTTGGTGACCAGGTCAAACTCATGTTGAACTCCCAATCCTTCTGCCTCTGCCTACAAAGTGCTAGGATGGCAGTGAACAAAATTTCCTGCCTGGCAGGAAG